GAAAGAACGGAGTGAAACGGTCAAAATCCTGCGAAGAAAAAGCCTCCGTTCTCAATGACTAAAAATCAATTTCGGACGAGTTTCCCGTAGGCATCTTGCCAATAACCGCTACCGAATACGGCTGCACGTATGTACCATATATCCATGCAGCATCGCGGCCGCTTCATACCAATCCCTTCGCTTCATAATTTGCTTAGCAAATGAATCAATACGAGCGTCAGGAACGGTCGTCCATTTGTGGGCGGGCGGGCGTGGTGGGCGTTTGGGTCGGTATGTTGCAGCTTGATAGGGCCTTATAAGGGTACCTTCCTTGGAAAGGGCGCTGCGCAGCGCCTCCTCAGGGGCGCGGAATTCCGTCCTGCCAGGCGTATTAATCCTACTCGTCTTTAGGGATTTATCGTGCCAACTGCCTTCAAGGACAACTGTCATGTCGTCTTGTAATGGACGAAGCATGACTACAATTGCACCGAATGGCAATATCCAACAAAAAAGGCAGCCGCAACACTTCCAAATGAATTACGCAGCACGCCCACCCCAGTTCCAGAATAAGCAGTGTAATTTGCAGGGAGAGCTTTGTGAGCTAGCTGTCTTTCTGGGAGCCCCTTTGCACTTTCATTCTAGGCACTCATACAGTTGTTACAACAATCCGCTGCTATACTTACTCTATTTTCTGAGGTATCAAGCTCTTTTACTGGGGTATTTAGAAGGAGCAGTCAGGCTATTAAGCCCAGCGGCACTTGTTTTTGCCTTCTTTGCACATTCCAATCTTCTGAGTTGCTTCCGAACATTTCTTGCTCAACGTAGATCAATCTGTAGATAAGAACGAACAAAAACCCGCAGAATGAAAACGAGAAAAGGACGTCTTTTCAAGGGCGATGCTCGCGCACTCGAGGAGAAGGTGCGTCTTGTATCGCAGAAAACGAAACAGACTTTAGTATTATCACAAGAATGCTGAGTTGTGGGCAAAAGTCGTACCCCAGGCGGGAGTCGAACCCGCACCTCACGGGCGAGTGCGCTATCCGTTACGCCACCAGGGCCGCTTTTACCCTCTCAGCTTTTACCACAAAGCAGACTTTAGTCCTTTTTCAACATTCCTGTCGGATGTGAAATAGTTTGCTAGCTCCCGAAGATTTGGGAAATTTGACTGGCCTGAACAACTTCCACGAACCATGAATGTGACTAGCGCATCTGTAATCACCTCTTCACCTTCACTTCTACGTTGTCTTCATGTTGTCTAATAAATATTCGAATTTTTCTTCCCTTCGTAGACTGTGATCTGCCGCGCTCTTTAGGATTACCGTAAGAAATGCACAACGAGTTATTGCACCGATGTGATAGCATCGGTGCAATAACTCGTTGTGCATTTCTTACGGTGCTGAAATGAGCACAGACAAACGCAACATGCTGTGCGAACCAGACCTCTATTGCTTGCACACTCCCAAGAAAGATATCTAGAGAGTCAGAACTACTCGTGAGCTCGCAAAAGTGTGGACAGGCAAGATTGCTCCAACGAGCTCACGAAATCGCCCTACGACGCTGCAGGCGCCAAAATGCCCACGCGTAATTCACTGTGTGAATCGTTGTCTTGTAGACCAAAAAGAACAAAGCCCACAAGAGTCATGCGTCTATGGCCACTTTATCTCGCCCTTTCGAGTGACGAAAGAGGCACACTCCATAAGAGTGCAGACCTTGATGCCGAATGCACGTGCTCTTCGCGGACCACTTGATTTTCTCTAGTCTTCACATAATTTTTGATGGTCTTCAATTATCAAGAAAAAAAAGGTATACACTCCAGTTGCAAGGTCTTTCCTAATGGAATCCGTATAAAACTACTCTGCTGAAAAAGGCGTGAATGATTTGAGATTCGCGCATCATAACCATCCATCACTGCGGACAGATGATCTATCAATGTGCGCAAGGACGAAATTTCTCATTCGCTCGAATCACCCTCGATCAACCCATTTCAGCGCCGTTTTTCTCTCAGACCTCATCCTTTATATTGAAGAACTGGGGCACGTGAAACATTCTGCCAGAAAACGCTTGGGAAACTCGTCCTGGCATTCGTTTTAGAATTCCGTGACCTTAAAGGACATGTGGCACGCTAATTTGTACTTGCTCCAAAATGCTAGCAGGACGCTGGAGAGTGCCATATAGCGGGAGAATAGCGAAAAAACGAAGTGAAACGGTCAAAGACCTGAGAAGAGAAGTCTTCGCTCTCAGTAACTCGAGAAGCAATTTCGGAGGAGTTTCTCGTAGGCCTTTACCCGATAACCGTTATGACAGATACAGCTGCACGTATATACTCATATATCCGTGCAACACCACGGCCGTTTCAAGTTAGTCGCTCCGCTTCATATTCTACTCTGCAGGTGGAACAACACGAGCAGGGTCGTCCATTTGTGGGCGGACGGGCGCGGTGGGCGTCGGCGGGTATGTTGCAGCTTGATAGGGCCTTATAAGGTACCTTCCTTGGAAAAGGCGCTACGCAGCGCCTGCTCGAGGACGCGGAATCCCGTCCTGCCAGGCGAATTATTCCTACCCGTGATTTATCGTGCCAACTGTCTTTGAGTCACCAGCAGTTTCTCCCACGACTTCAGTAACTGAAGTATGCAATTATAAATCGACAGACGGAAGAAATAACGTCAAGCTGTTAAGCCAGCACTTGAGAGATTGGCCGTGTCTACCACAAATAAAGCACGTCCTGCCGCTGGGGAACAAATCTGCAAAGTACGATGCCCTTCAAAATGTCCTTCCCTGGTACGCACCCCCTGGCCATTCCATTCTGCCCACCATCTTCTCCTATTCTCCTTACTTCCTGCGAGTTTTCTGTAGTTTTACCGCTCGAAGAAACTGTCATTTACCCCAAAAAAGCGAGACAAGGCGGAGAAGGAGAACGGCGGTAGCGCAAGCGGAACGAGGGAAGCCGAGTGAAGTAAACAACCGAAAACATTCTTCACATTTTTACGTAGACTGACAAGACTCCACTCCACCCCTTCCCCCCTCCCCAACGATCAACTACGACCCCTCTGGGAGTGCCCAAGGTACGACGTACCCTGGTCATGGAGGTAGCATATTTCTATTTCTTCTCTTTGGCGACATAGTCCTGGTGCCTTACCAGCCACCCAGCTGCGCTGCCCTTATCAGATACCATAGAATGAGGAAAGATTTATGCGCGATTGACGATAAAACAAAACTGGTTATAAAACTAACTGGGATATTCACTACACGGAGCAGACTCTACTAGCATTACGCCAATTCCCTTCTCCCCTTCCCTTCCCGTATGGAGGATACCCTCTCAAAGAAGTCACATGGCTGTAAAGAAGTCGAAACTCAGAGTCGGACTCGTTCAGTGTCACCAGACAGTGAGAGAAAACAGAGGAACGTGAATGAGGGATTCTCTGCGTAGATGAACGGCACAGGGTGCATTGATTGCAGGACAAAAGGGTTGTGAAAACCCCGACAAATGCGGCGTGGACAAAAAGGAGAAAGTTCAATGGCATCATCTGCGATACTAGGTTCTCCAGGACAGTCAGTGGTATGATGCAGACGGTTGTAGTGTAGCTCAGCACATCCTAGTCTCAGCGAGGGCGGCAAGAAATGTGTTGTAAGCGGGATCAATCACACCAGGACATACCTCACTCAATATGGTGTCGCGCTCCAAGTCGCCCAGCTCGGAAGTACTCTGCTAGTATGTGCGCTATGCGCGGCTTCGGATGTCACGAACTGCGCCCATGGGCGGGTGTGCACCAATAGTCCATGCCGAAGCGCGTCCTCCCAAAACGTCGAATCGCTAGCGACCACAGTCGATCAGTACCCATCCACTGGTTTCAAGCACACTCCCCGACACGGCAGAGTGTGCGCGCGAGAGCGCCGCAGCATTTTCGGGAGCCTCGAGAAGCCGAATCACCGACTCCCCTTTTCCCTCGTCCCAGACTAGGAACGCAGCCTAAGAGTTTCTGTGGCGCGTAATTGAATGAACGATATCCATTTGGCCAAACGAACTCCTCTCTACGGATACCATATTCTGCGAATGAAGTAACAAACCTTCTAAGTTTTATATAATTGTATATTTCACTTTAGAACACAGAAAAACAACAACAAATCATAGCAAAAATGTTGAGTACTAGAGAATCACTGCTACAACAAAGTCTTCAGAAGTACACATTATACAAGTGAAGTATTAGTGAACTCGTGTTCGCAGTCAGTAAACCCTGCATTCGTTCAAACTGATTTAGTCAACCAAAGAAACAGTTAGGATGCAACCAAAAATGCACAAATCACTGGCATGATTGAAACTCTTTTCATGAGGTTGTGTTCAGAGTTCGCGTCGTGACGTGTCGACGCGCAACCGTTGCAAGTGCGCTCCTATGCTACCCAACTCCACTTTTTCACCACCAACCCCTTTTTTCATAGCAGTTTCTGTTCCTATTTTCAGAGGGTTCAGTCCCAGGGCTACCATCCGCACTTTGATTGATGTTACATCACCCTGTTGTCCCCTGTTGTTTTCATCTTCGATTTCAGTGGACCGGTTTCCAGCTTCAGCAGATCCTCGTACTGCTGAGATGGTGGGTTAGTTGGTGAATTTCCTGATGGTTGGTTAGTTGGTGAGTTTCCTAATGTTTTTCACTTTATTTCAGCTCATAGCTGAGCGTTTCATAAGTTTTTATTCGCCAATTCGTTTTCTGATTGCTTTCGCAGTCAGACCTACTTCGGGGAAGAAACCCCTGTGGAAATAACCAGATAAAACTAGCGGATTGAAATCTTTTGAAATATCAACGAGTTGAAAAAATGAGAAGTGGAACAAAACAAACCTCATCAACCAACCCTCAGCTAAACGAAGATCTATGTGAAAGTTCGCAAATAATGTCGTTGGAGTTGGGGAGGGAGTTGGGTAGCACTGGAGCGTGCTTGCAACGATAGCGCGTCGACGCGCGTCATCGCAAAACTGAACGCAATCTAATTATGGTTTCTTCGGAGACTATATGAAGGAATAGAGATCATTACTGTACGCTGCTGCCTTCCGCAAGCGACCGCAAATACAACTGCTGCAAAAACGAAAAAAAAGATCGTAGAATTTCTGTCAAGATATATTTTTTACCATGTTAGTCACGTCGAATGAAGATTGAGAAAAACGCCTCTGCGGAATATTCCGTGAATTGAGGTGCCTTCCTGGCTCCAAAACAAGGGTTTTCATCACATCAGAAAGGGAGATTATGCCCTGAAAGACGTCTGAATTTAAAAGGATTCCTGAAAAAAGCTGGATTCATACAAACGAGATATTATTCCAAGCAAGTAGAGCCTAAAACTTCTTTCAGCTCCGAGTCCCTCAAACCTAGCCATAACTCTATTAATAGACTCAAGTGTACTGTTTTTTTCAGACCTGAAAATGCAACTAGCAACTTTGAAAAGAGCAAGGTAGACGGGACGGAACGCTTTCGTCTCGGCGTACATCATTGCTATCAGATCAGGATGGATCGTATTCGAGTCTCTGGGGCAGGGCAGGGTAGGGAGTCGTATCTGAGCTTGACAGGAAATTTTCCGATAACTGACTTTTTCGCATTTCGCGCACGCTTTACCACCCACCTCCTTCTAACCAACGGGGCGAGACAAGTACTTTTTTATTGCTGATCGGAGTTACCTACCACAACCCCCCCCCTCGATGGTAAATTGTCTGAAAATAAATGGGTTCTGATAGGGGGCTGGGTGAAAAGGGTCAAGAGGAAAGTTATGTGGATGATGGTATTGACACCGCCATTTCACCCATCCACATACTGTATCCTGTCCCGTCCGTTATCGCTTGAGCCACAGGTGTAGCCCGCTGTCTTTAATGGGTTGGACCATAATGTAGTATAGATGACAAGTAATAGTGACTCGCCGGGTCAGGTGGCTCTGGTTCGCTGCAGACGATGGGGCGTGATCGCGCGGCTGCATTTGGCGCGCCGCCGAACCCATTCTCCACCAGCTGCTGATCGTCTGAGTGACAGCAACTGGTGGAAAACATCTGATACGAACGATATGATACAGTGTTGTCGTTTGCCGAAAGAAAAAAAGGGGCAGCGCCGCACCAAACGCAGCCGCGCTGACACGCCCCATCATTCGCGGCGAACAAGAACATAATGGCTCGAGAATCAGTTACTCAAAAACTAGTAGGGCTCCTTCAAAATTTATGAATTCAGTTACAGAAACTATGTTTTTTCAATCTAAAATTACTAGGGTTTTTCAGGCAATCAGTGCTGATAATCAGCAACGTATTCAATTCACTGGCGTACATAATAATACACGCAACCTGAAGAACATCGTTTTCGTCAACAACACAAACTCGATGAACACGGCGTTCGACAAGTACGGAGACAACAGAGTAGAATGACTGCGCTTCTCTGACAGAAGCAACAGGCTGTCGGTTGTTCTGAAAACATCACGATGCCAAGCATGCCTTCCAGCTAACAAGGGAAGGATGGTAGGTCGAAGTGGCCATTTGAATGAAATGTATACCGGCTGAAAGGTCTTCGGACGGGAATTACGAAACCGTCTTCCATATCTGCTGCGGACCTCCCACCAAAGTTACGGAGCTTTTTGGGAGAGAATATTCGCGTTCAGTACGAACTTGGCGGCGTAAGGCCTCTGAGATCGTTGGCAGTATGGCCGAGTGGATACGTCGTAGGGCTCACGTATTCCGCGTCGAGGGTTTGGATCCTTGATGCGTGTGCCTCTTGCATCTTTTTCGAAAGTGGTCCCTGTGCACTTCAAAGCTATTTTGCATAACACTTGTCCTGATAATGTCGTGACGTAATGTTTCTGAACTGATGGAGCCATTGCGAACGATTCCATGGAGAACATTTTCTGGCTGTTGACTTCTTCTTTCTTTGATTTGAAAAGCATACACAACAAAAGTGCATTCCAACGAATGATTTTGCCCTGAAAATGACTTTATTCTCCAAATGACATGACTGGAAACCGAATCCGAAGCCGCACGAAGTTGTGCGCGAAGATGAGTATAGTGGGAAAATGCTTTCATATGAAGTGGCGTTGATGTGGCAATCATGCTGGAGATCGCGATGGGCAAAACCTTCATTCATCACTCACATAGTGTTGAAATGTCTATCCCAAAGTGGTTTCGCACCTGCTGGAAGTTTTCGGCTCGTATGACAATCTCTTCAGCCAGAAGTGATCTCCATGAAATCGTTCGCAATGGCTCCATCAGTTCAGAAACATTACGTCACGACATTATCAGGGACAAGAGTTATGCAAAATAGCTTTGAAGTGCACAGGGACCACTTTCGAAAAAATGCAAAAGAGCACACGCATCAAGGATCCAAACCCTCGACCACGCATCCGTGAGCCCTACGACGTATCCACTCGGCCATGCTGCCACGATCTCATCAGCCTTACGCCGCCAATTCGTAGTGATATATTCTCCCCCTAAAAAGCTCCGTAACTTCTTTCTGGGAGGTCCGCAGCAGATATGGAAGACGGTTTCGTAATTCCCGTCCGAAGACCTTTCAGCCGGTATACATTTCATTTCAAATGGCCACTTCGACCTACCATCCTTCCCTTGTAAGGCAGCGTTCACACTTCGCGATGACGTGCGTCGAAGCGTTACAACTACAACAACGCTCCAATCCTATAGACGCGAACGGGAATCGATCAGCGCCGGTCGCTTGTGTATTAGAGAGTATAGTATAATAGGAGAGTGAGCGCTGCTTCCAAACTGTCTGCTACCTTCCCATTCTCCTTTACTCTACTTGCGACCAGCACCGATCGATACCACAATGTGTCATTAGGCAATGCACATCTCCTATTCCTCTATACTCTTTCAACACAAGCAGTCGGCGCCGATCGATTCCCGTCTGCAGCTGTGCTCATGTCTATAGCACTGGAGCGCTTTTTCAATCGTAGCGCGTCGACGCGCGTCACGCGAACTTTGAGCGCTACCTCGTGACGTCCCTAACAAAACTGTTCATGCGGATCACTGATATATAAAAAAAGCTGAAAAGTATAAGCAAAGGCTCGCCAACCATGAAATACCACCACTAAAAGTGCAGAGAGCATGCTTGTTTTCCCGTGTATTTGCTAGTGTTTTATGTAATTGTGCGTGGACAAAGACACTTCACTGTATGATGGAAGAGTATAAAAAAATTCCTCTTGTACTTACTAGCATTCGGGCGCTCTCTACAAGATGCCAACCAGCTGACTGGTATTAGCCGTGTACAGATATAGTAATGCTGCATTCTGACTATTTACACTTACATTACAGATGTGCTTGAACTGAAGAGCTTCCTTCACAGTAATTTCCAAATTGAATCCTTCGTTTTGTAAGGCAATTCCAATGGCATCAAAACGAGAATAAACATCAACAACTCTGAATCAGCTTCTTACCATCTAGAACGTACAATCAGTAACTAATCCGGAGCTGACTTACTTATGAGTATCACGTTCTACAACTGGTACTCCGGAAACGCCAAGGTTCAAAAGAATATCCAGACATTCATAGAGAGGAGTGTCAAGGTACACCTTCAAGAAAGCTCAGTAATACAGCAACAAAAAGTAAGCAAGAAACTGTGGAAAATGACATACACAGCGGATGCCTTCCCAAGTGCCCACGCCGAGCTGCTTTGGAGTTTGAGTGATGAATGAGTGATGAAAAAGTGATTGTCCCTGGAACAATATCAAATATTTCAAAAATGCGCACAGAGCGTGGTGCTCTTCAAAGCTGTCGCATTTTTCAATGAACTTACAAAGCACCAGATGAACTTTAAAATGCGCTTGTGCGTAAGAATAAAGATGGGATCATATGTGACGGGATCGATTACAGGTATGCGATGAACGTGATGGGATGACAACAATCTAACAACTTCTAGAAGGCTAAAAAGATGTTATGTTGAGGAATAAGGGCGCGTTCACATTTTGCGAATGAAGACCCAGAGAATTGTGAGATATCGTGGGTTCAGAGACTGGAAGAATGCACACCACAGGATAAGGAAAGGAACCGCAGGATCATACTGTAACGAGAACAGGCAGGACACAGTACCCCCAAAAACTTCGCGTGTAATTGGATGTATCGGCCCCGTGAATGCACGCAACTGGGCATGCCGTACGACGGTGCGCAGGAGCTCGTAGGCGAAAACGGGGTTTCGTTGGGTGCATTCGATATTCCTAAGCACTGAGTTTACGTGCAGTTTGGGGTACTAAATCCCCCTGTTCTCCTGAACTTATAATTTGTAGAAAAAGACCGACCCACTTACAAGCGTTTTCGAAGAATGCGCAAAGTGGGAAATTCCGCTAATGAGGAGAACGCGCGTTATCCAAATCACGGAATCTCTTGATTTGCTAGGGGGCGGATCCGATCGATAACCATCTTATCCCTGGTGACATGGTCTCTGTTCTCCCATTCTCCGAATTCGCTGATTCCTCATATTCACAATGTATGAACGCAGTCCCACGAAGAGTTCATAAGTATACCTGGCCACACCAATAGAAGAGAACTCTCACCTGCTTTCTGCGCTAATCCACACCAAATTTCTCCATTTGCCTGCCTTTTTGGTGAGTTCTGAACCCTCGTACATGAGTTCTGGCTCACATGTACCAGTACGTAAAACAGTATGATAACAGCAAAACCCACCTTGATATTTTCTGATGGTAAGCAACCCAAGGTCATTGGCTTCTTCACGCGAAACAAATTTCGATTCTCTAAATAGTTGCCGATAAACAGTATATTTCAATTCATAAGCGAAATGTGTTCAACAACCACGAAACTCTTACCGAAACAATTTGAGAAGCACGCGAATAAAATCTGTTACTGACAGGATACCGGTAATCGCTCCACCTTGTTGTGAATCGGATAGAAGTACATGTCGTGTCGCTATAAGATTCCATTCTAAGAGTGAATATTGATTGAAATAGGTTGTCTGCTCTTCAAGTGTAATCCAAATGTTTGTGCTCCAGTTCAGACTGGACTAGGGAAGGGGAGAAGAGACGATGTGGAATAGCCCCCTCCAACCGTCTACGGAAAACTACTCAGTCCCTAACTTTCTTGGACGACCTTACACACTCCAACTTTCCGAGTGCGGAAAGTGGCCCAGCCAACCCAGAATCCCCCCCCCCCCCGGAAAGCGCCCATTCACTTGCGACATGTTATTCACGCCTTTCGATGCACTGGCAGTCGAGTCCTCTGTTTCTATACTCCGTGGCCTTTTCGCCAGGACCACCACCGAAAGTTGCAGTTGTCACGTACCCCTTCCCCCTTTTAAACATGCCAACACCTTAATGTAGTAATAGATCGTTACTTCAAATCCGGATTCAGAAAATTAAACAGTATTGTTCTTACCGTGAGTTACAATTCGATGAAATGCTTGCCACATTACGAGGTCTTCATCCAAGACCACTACACGACCAGACGTTGGCATCGCTTCATAGCATGTATTCATCATCAGCAGTTTTGCCAGTGAGTCATGGTCAACCTCAGAAATTCAAGCAGAAGACAGAAATAATTACAGCCTGGTTCGCTCCACATGAGGGGGCGTGTGAGAACACGCGTTTGGCGCATCGCCAAATTCATTCTACACCAGTTGTTTGGCGGGTTAGTGAGAACTAATGAGAAACATCTGATAAGAATGACGCGGTACACATCCTGTCACTTATAGATATAAAAAAAAGAAAAAAACGATTAGCGCCTCGCCGAACGCAGCCACGCAGACACGCCCCATCATCCGCAGCGAAATAGACTGTATGAAGAAAGAAAGCTGGAATGTGAAAAATGTTACATACTTCTTTGGAAGTAACACCACCGAAACTGCGACGCCTTCCACTGGATATAGACATTACAAAACCGGCGGAATGAAATTCTGTTCAACAATGAACTATTATTTAGTTGTGAGTAAGTTCTTTTTGCGTCCATAAAACGTGCCTCATATCGCAAGATTACCAAGTAAACTGGTAAATGACCCTAGAGCAATCAACAGAACAAAAAACCTAATTGCAGTCCACTACTAAGCATAGAAGTCAAAGAAAGTCTTATTAAGCAGGAATAGCTCACTATTTCCTAGAAATAATGAGACCAACACGATGCAGAAATAGGGCTTATACTAGTACAATCCATAAAACAATTAACCAAGCAAGAATTCTTTTTAAACAAGCGTCTCAACTATTGTGCATGTGCAACTTGAGATAATTAGTTACGCAATGCTCCCGACAGCTCAGTGAACCTGTCGAAACCTGTGGTTACAGCTTCTTACAGTTTTTTACTCAACTTGTCGGGTGCAGAGTGTAGTTCCAACCACCTGGGCCCTTACATAGCTAAAAACCTGCCTTTGCAACCAGCTGACGACAGAAAGCCATGACGTCAGATCACTCAGCTCTGGCCATGCTACGTACCACATTTTTTATTGCACGACCTTTCTTCGAAACTAAAAGCTGGCAGGTTGTCTCTGCCTGTTTCACGTGGTGAAGATCGTTGAATGACCGAATGTAGATGCTAACGCACTGAGGACGTGGGTGGAAGGGGGAGGGAGGGAGGACCACTCGCCAGAGTATTCGTATCTCTTCTGCTGGTTAAAGCTAAGGGTGCATTCATACTTTGCGTCAGTGATCCGAGCGTTTAGAGCGTGGGATATCGTTTTGAGCGAACCAGGAGATTATAGATATAAATCTAGCGTACGACAGTTTCGAGGGTATGCCGGCCTTTTCAGCGACTACACACAGGACTTTCAGAACCCTACATCGATACCTACGCTTTCCTAGTCGTTCGAAACGGTCGCTCAAAACACTGACGTACTCTCAAAGCGCTGATGCAAAGTATGAACGTGGCCTTGGACTTATGGTTAGTGAAGGCTATGTCTTCTGTGCGGAACTAACCTTCAGCGATTCTGGTCGTCTGGGATCCAAGCCAGAGCCTTTTTTGACAAGGGGTAAACGTAAGAGTGGTCCGTCCTCCCGCTCCGCTTTTCCCCAAGCTACGTCAGCGCCTCACTGCAATTTATCAATGAAGTAATCGAATAACGAAGATGGTCTCGCTGTAATCCTTGAGAATAAAAATGGAATAAAACAAGCACAGGAGAACGGCGATTGTTCAGCGCGTCCACATCGCCGTTAGCGTGTCATGACAGATTACGGTAAGCGTCTACTGGGTCGGATAACTCGTCCGAATTAATGACTATAAGGTTTTCGTCATTGACAACCTACTGAAGCCATGAAGAATGGCTTCGATGCTCATTATTATAGTCCAGGGCTTCTGATGATCACTTACGAAAGTGCTCCAGTTTGTAATTTTTGACTAGTTGCTTTCATGGAACACGGTTTGCCTGGCATGTTTTTACAAGGTGGTAGCAATGTGGTTGCTGCAAACGACATATCCCTAAACAAACGGTATGAGATGTTGGCTGCCATAGCCTGATTGATTTGACGCCGAAGTGTTATGGCGAGTCAACTAGCTAGGAATATTAATCTGCGATGCTGTACTTCAGATAGCTTGAGAAACGAGCGGATTTGGCAAGATAAAGCACGAATCTCAAAGGGCAAAATACTGAGATTCCTGCTTTGATCATCGAAATTGACATAGGAATGACACCAGTGTTTGCCTTGTTGCTAATGTCAATTGAGCGCAACGATCCCGGAAAACATCGCAAGCATACGCAAGATTGTGCTATTAAGCAGTCCTACTATGGGCGCTAACGCATTTATACCATTTTCACTTTAAATCGGACACTTTTCAAACCAAATCGGACACTTTTCAAACCAAATCGGACACTTTTCAAATCAAATCGGACACTTTTCAAATCAAATCGGACACTTTTCAAATCCAAATCGGACACTTTTCAAATCAAATCGGACACACCCCTTACAATAGGCAGTTGATAACTAGACCACACTAGGTGCTGCAAGCCCCGCCCCAACACCCCGCCCACTTTCCAGCGCGGTCACGGTTTTCCAAAATGTTTTATGAAATCTGCTTCTTCGACTTTTTCTCACTTTTGCTAGTTGCACACACACTTCAACTGAAAAGGATTGGTACCGATACAGATCTGACTCCGCCCACTTCACAATCAAGTGACGTAAGTTCTGAATTTTTATAACTTCTTTCGACGTCGGTTTTTTCACATTCAATCTTCACAAAACGAATATAGCCATGCTTTTACACACTAGCACACTAGGCCCCGCCCCTCTGACCACGCCCACTTTCGTTTTTCGCGGAATTTTGATTTTTCTTCCGAATTTTCACTTTTTTAGGCTGTGACAAGCGGCCCCGCCCACTAATGGAAGCTCCGCCCACTTTGTAGAAGCCCCGCCCACTTTTCAAAAATGATGCAGATCGGCGAGCTAGTGACCGTACTAGCAGGTTATGGCCTCTCCCGTCACCCGGAACAAAGTTTCCTTTTTTTGTGGTCTTTCCCTTTTTTTCATTCTATGTGACGGGAGAGGCCATAACCTGCTAGTACGGTCACTAGCTCGCCGATCTGCATCATTTTTGAAAAGTGGGCGGGGCTTCTACAAAGTGGGCGGAGCTTCCATTAGTGGGCGGGGCCGCTTGTCACAGCCTAAAAAAGTGAAAATTCGGAAGAAAAATCAAAATCAAAATTCCGCGAAAAACGAAAGTGGGCGTAGCCAGAGGGGCGGGGCCTAGTGTGCTAGTGTGTACACTCGAGATCCCTGAGATCGGGTAGGTGGGCCGCATGTTTAACTTTGCCTCAAGGCTTCTACGCTTCTGTTGCCATATTTTCATCCCGACATAAATTAGTGTCTCTGTCCAACGCAGTAAACGAAGATGACAGTTGCCCAACGAATATCCACTAGTAAGCCAGCTTCCGTACAGTGCTCGAATGCCCGGCATATCTCCGATCTCAGGCATGTCGAAGCATAAAAAGCATGCTATTATCCGTTTTGTGAAGTGTGAAAATGTGAAAAAACCGACGTCGAGAGGAGATGTAAAATTCATAACTTACGTCGCTTGATTATTGATATTTTGCGGATTCAGATCTGTATCGGTACCAATCCTTTTCAGTTGAAGTGTGTGTGCAACTAGCAAAAGTGAGAAAAAGTCGAAGAAGCAAATTTCATAAAACATCTTGGAAAACCGTGACCGCGCTGGAAAGGTGGGCGGGGTCTGTTGGGCGGGGCCTTGCAGCAGACCTAGTGTGGTTAGTTATCAACTGCCCTTGGTAAGGGGTGTGTCCGATTTGGTTCAAAAAGTGTCCGATTTGGTTTGAAAAGTGTCCGATTTGGTTTGAAAAGTGTCCGATTCAAAGTGAAAATGTGCTCCGCAAAGGGAGACGAAGCAAGATTCTGGGAGAAACTCATTGACGCAATCTTTCTAAGACCGTAATACCTCAATGCCTGAGTTATGCTGCCTACCGTTTATTTGTATGGAAAAGTTGTCCGAAATCGCTCCATATCAGGTCATAAACTTTTACCATCGCAATTAATCGGGAGCGGTGAGGGAGGTGAGCGTGCCCGCCTCCGCCTTTGCTCTGAAAATGGTGAGCCGGCTAGCGATCGAGTTAGGAAGAAAACAACCAGTGGCGGAAACGTCGCAAACAAGGGGTCAGTCCATCCCTCTTGAAATTGACCCTACTGATTGCAATGATACCGAATGTATTCATTTGATGGCACACAGGGATGCAAAAAATTCGAAATGCGATAATATGTCTCCCACACACGAAACGTGATCCATATTGTCCGTTGAGCAGTGTCACATACGCTATCGCATTGACACATCATCCCGAAGCCATAGATTGCATGCCGCAGTCACTGAAGGAACTCTCATGGAGATGTAGTTTGGTTTCGAGCCTCGACAAGGAAGTACTTTATTAGGCCAACGTTTCGGCGTCACTCGTTCGCTGTAGACTAATAGGCAAACGTATGAGACCTGGCCCGCAAAGCCTCAACAATTCCCAAGACAATTTCACTAAACCAGTAAAACAACCCAACGGTATCGATCATAGTGTTACGGCTCTGTTATGGCTGTTATGGCTCAGATCAAAACCTACAGAGGTCGAGGAAAGGCGCGAGTTCGCGGGTCACAGCCACACACTCCTCCTTTCTATTCATTTTAGGGTCCTTGGCAGTGATCCAAAATGCCTCCAATGTCTTACGCGCCGTGATCTCGGGCTCCTGCGCTAAGATGACCACCGAGACGTCAAATGACGTGCCTCCATGGTGTTCAACTCGATGAGCTCCGAGTGGAGTCTGGACCCTAGATCTACTGAGCCCCTCCAGATGTTCTTTAACCCGCACACGAAGGGGGCGCCCTGTTTCACTGTCCTACTGTGCAAGTCAACTGCCACATTCTGACAGTGTATCGAGTAAATAACTGCCGGAAGCCTGTTCATCAGGGCATCGCGCCTGTCTGCGAAAGGGACAAACATACAATCCGGGGTGTCACTTAAGGTGTCATAAAGCCGGTTGCGAATAAGGTGACGTTTTAAGTTACAGGGGGGTATTTCCACAATACTAATATCGTCCTGGAGATCACATCGTTTCAGTTGTGATCGAATCGTCCTGCTCACCTGTTCGCAAATATAGGGCAGGCAAAAAAGGACTTATCGGGAGGGTTGTTCTGGAAGTGCCTCGACACGTGCTACCCCGTCGAGTCGTTTCAGAGCAAGGATATCCATTGGATAACGCGATAGTCTGGGCTCTGTTCGACGACTCTTTTCTTAACTCGCTATCTGATGAGACCTTATGGGCTATCCTGAACATGTTTTGGACGACAGCTTTCTTAGTTTTCATCGGATGAGCCGAGGTGTAATGTATCAAAATGTTTTTGTTGCTTGGCTTCCGGTACCATTTGGTCCTGACACTTTCTCGTAGCAACTGAATTTGAACAT